ATATATATATATATATATATATATATATATATATATATATATATATATATTGGGGTGGCGATTGAAAATTATTTCATGCGATAAAAGTCATTTTCATTTTCTATTGCTTATTCAGCAATTATCAAAAATTGCTCAGGCCTTAGAACTTTCAGAGGAAATGGTTGAACCTATTTTTTCTTTAATTGTCGTCATCTTTTTTCTCTTCTTTCATTGACGGGGGAAAATCAGAATTGAACAAAAATGCTTGAACAAGAGACTGTAGGATGACTATTAGTTTCACTTTTCAAAATGCCCACTTTGATTATTTGAGTTTTCAAATAAAATTCTTCCTACCTTCCAACTGAAATAAGTTTACGTTCATAGGAGTTTAGGGTAAATCGGGAATACTCCGAATTGGCATAACGATGGTGTTTTATCTTTAAGTCTTAATACAAGCAACGGTGACTGAGTGATATTTTAGTGATTTTTAATATACTTAATTATTTCCACGCCATATGATCTTGAATGTAAATCGGCACAATGGAGCCTCGCTTTAAGTAATGGCGATCATCACTAGTCACTTCTGCCTCTCCACACTCTCCTCCCTCCACCCCCCCCCCCCCCCCCCCCCCCCCCCCCCAACATTCAAATCACTGTCAGTCCAAATTAATTGATCCTTCCATTTCTCCCGTTATTATTAGTTCCTAAAGATTTCCAATTAGTCCTACAGTTGAAGCCAAAATAGCGTTCACTCACTGCCTTCCATTCCATGGGGAGGAATGAAGTGGAGTTAAGCAGCCAGATGTACAAAAAAATGAAGAGTAGAAGGAGAGTGATACTCATCGGGTGTACCAAACATTGATGCTTTAACCTCATTGGTGTATTTGATAATTGGGGTCATAGCAACTTGAAGTGGCTTGCTGTAAAGAACAACGTCATCTTTTGACTTACCGATTGATAACATTCCAATGTGGTGAAAAAATTTGAAAGGAGAATCAGGGGAAAAAACATGACCTCTGTTTTGCTATCACTTTCCGGCAAACCTCGGCAGCCTCATAAGCTGCACTGTAGTCTTGGTTAGTCTTTCAATGTTATTTATTTATTTATTTATTTCAAATGACAGGCATTTTGATAGTTATCATTAGCTCTTTAGCTGATTTCAGGCTACTCAGAGAGGAGGAGGAACATCAAAGTGACAAAAACTCGAGAGGGGGGACAGAACAATGATTCACAGATGCAAGTGGGACAAACAGACACAAAGGCAGTGAAAAGGTAAGATGAGTACTGTGAAAGCGATAGAATATGACTTACAGTGTGAGTCATGGTAGTTGGAAGTTAGAAGTCAACTGCCGATCAATAGACTTTTTGTCGCATGAGTATACGTTGTCCAGGGTGCACCACGTGGAGATAAGTCTATCGCACAACCCGTCTTTCAATGTAATCAATACCTACTGACACACATCTGCATCTCAACTAACAGATAAAATTCAACACACAATAGTCGCGAGATCTGACTTCTCCCAAATCGCTTTTATTAACCCGGTTTGTACTTGCTCAGCACCGACCCCTGCCTTTCCCTCCTTATTCATATCCATCTTCCGTGCAAATATTTAATATACACGTGACCTTGCTTAACTCTTGGTATGATTTTTTCGCATTTAACTAAGGATAATCAGTGTTTTATCCTAAGGATTTCTGACACATATTGGTCAATTAAAACACTAGATTCATTAAAGCAATTAATGCTACTTCAATTTTACCCTACCTCAAAGAATGCATAAAGACGGTAGATGTAGTTACACTGATTTCCAGTGGATTGAGATCTGGAAATTGGGATATACCGAACACTGTTATACTTTAAATGCCATTTTCGTATCAATCCAAATGTAATATAAATGTTTTTTCCGTATGTTTCTGCATTATATTGGAATAATTATTTAATGGACATAATTTGGGAAATTATAAAAAATAATAAAAGATATGTTAGTGCGATTATTTTAAAATAGTAGATTTTCCCCCAATTTTCTAACTTAATACCAAGTTCCTTCGACAACGTGATTCGAAGGTCAAAATTGAAATTAAAATCATAATGAAGTACTTATAAGTAAAAGGATGAGAATGCTGTAGTCATGCTCGGATTATCTCCAATAATAGATTTGGATATTTATTAATAATGTTTCCGTAAACATTTACTAGGTTTAAAATGGAACAAGAATTTGTTCCGTTAAATAAAGAAATGAAAGTTGATATCGAATACGTTATTGATTTAAGTATCATTATTACTAGCATCAATGTATGATTAAAAATTATGACGAATGCGGATATGAACCAAGTATTTGACTTATATTAAAGACTTTCCACGTAAAATTATACATACTCTTTAGCTCTAAATTAGAAAACGTGTAAATTGCCTTTCAAGTGATCTGCCAGACATAAACCATCTTAACCAATTTGAAAGCTTGTTTAGAAGAAACGGAATGGCCTCAGGTATTTTAATAACAGGAGAATTTGTAAATTTCTCGATCAGACAATGACTCTAAAATAGCCAAAATACGGAAATGTAAGACCTAATTACCAAAATTGAATACTAGAAAAAATCTGAAGTTAACTAGTTAACTAATTGATAATATTTTGATAAAACTATAAGAGTTTAGAAGCTAATTTATGTATGTCATATGAATAAAATAGTATAATGGCTTCTGTCTATCCATTTTGAGGTTACAAAATTGAACATTTGACGGATTGCTTTCCTTTGTTTTGTGACATGTAATTGACCTTTAATATGAATTGGCAAAAAT